TTTTGCCTTATTCTCTCTCTTTATTTTAATGAATTAAGGCTCACCTAAGCTTACTCAGATTTGCTCATACGCCCTCTCCAATTCATATTGGACGTTGCTGGACTTTCTAATGTCTATGACATGTTCCTAAGACAGGTCGATCCTCTCCTCTCAAAATTTGTTTCATCATCGTGTTATGCTCAGGCACACCCTAAAAATCTTTCTATAAAAAGATAGTATAACAAAAAATACAATCATACACATCTCTGATGGAGGTATATGATGTTTAGATGACTGACAACAAGAGTACGATGTAGCTGCTTGACTATATATGGAAAATCATTGGCATATAATCTCAATATAGTTGCGGGATCAACAGCAATGTAAAACATACACTCGATCAAAATTTTCATGCTTCAGCAATTGATATATGAGATAGAACATCATTGTTTGCTAATTTCTCCTTATATGCCATTCATATGGCTCTGAACCATATAATGTATAGAGTCCCTGAAGTCTTTGAATGATCGATAAATAAAAATAAATGGAATATTATAATATCTTTCTTTTGACGACGTTATTTTGTTGAGTTTGACTTAAAACGAGTGCATGTTTGGTGCGACAATATTTCTGTTGCATTATCTTGTAGTATAACATACATTCATTGATATAGCAATCAATTTTTGTAGTATGAACCCAACTTGGATACTAATTTTTTGATTCATAAAAAAATCGAGGAAATTAAATTTCTGTTGGATTAGTTTTCTTAAAAGACCAAAGAAGTATAAAATAATCACGATGAATATATATCAGTTTTAATACTTAGCATCATCACTGTAATCGATAATTGAATGAGTTTTGCCACCATGCTCAAATTAGTTTTTGAGATGTATGTAGTAACTCCAAGAAATTTTTGGTATGTATTTGTGGCTCTTCCACACTAACCCTTAAATTAGGACCTGCTACATCAAAATAATTTTTCATACAGTCTAGTCATTTGTTCTTAATCAAATGTTTCAAAATATAGATAGGCTGCCATGAGTATCTCTGTGTGGTCTACTTCTCCATGTGAGGTCTAAATCAATAGTTTGAAGAAATCCCCTATGATATAAATCAAGCTTCACATCAATCGGCTTGAGAATGCTTAATTTTTATGCTTCAACATGAACATCTAAATATTTTATCGAATTTAAAGGAAGGCAGTTGAGAATGCAACTTGAATGAAAGCTCAACTCCCTGTATAAATTCATCTGTCATAATCATTTGATCCGATAACAATCTGTTAACATACATATAT